GTGATTTAAATAATCAGTCTCCTGTTTCCTGAGGCCTGGGTTCTGATTTCTGAATGCTTGGCACTGATCATGCTGTAATAACCCATTTGTTTTATTTCAAGTTTTGCTTGCAACAAATAGAGACACAGGCTGCTTGGAGTCCTATCACTGCTGCAGCGATTAGTTTATCATAGAGGACTTTAGGCAGAGTTGGGCAAATTATTTGTAACAAACAATTTTTTTAACAAATTTGATCTCTCACTGGGTGCAAAGTTTCTACGAACCCAACCGGATGTTTTTGAACTGATCCACTATTGCCAATAATCTACCAGATACATTTCTGCCAGCAAACTTTGGTCTCTAGATCATTTGCAAGCAGTTCATTGCATGGGGATTGTATAATGAAGGAGACTGTAAATCGCACATTTCTGTGTTAATGATGATGATGATAGCTCTATTTTATAGATTAAATAAGGAGCCGGGTGTCTGAGCAACTGGCTGAATCTTGCAGGAGACAAGCAGGAGACTTGCATTTCTGCGTGCAGATCTGCCTAGGTAATATGGCGTGAGTAACACACTGAGCTATCCAATGTAACAGGAAACCTTTTATCAGCTATATCAGTGCTCTGGAGAGACGCTTCTTAATGGCACCTCTTGTTACTTCAACAGGAGTGTTTTCTTGCGTTATGTTCTTATTACCGTCTTGGTGCAAAAACGATTCTTTCACTGGTTTGCAGTGCTGTGCCATTGGCATTGCTCTTGCTGTAGTCAGTTCACATATTTGTCATTATTCCTGAAGTTGCTTGCTTAACATTCAACCTATTAGTTGATCTCCTGTGTCAGCGACTCTCAACTGCGGTGTTGTGGCACCTTGGGGTGCTATGAGTCTTTCAAAAGGGGCGTTGAATGTGCTTTGCTGGGAGCCCAGTTCCCACACCTCAAAAAAGATATAGAAGAACTAGAGAAGGTCCAGAGAATGGCAGCAAGGATGGTCAGAGGTATGGAGGGACTTCCACAGGAGAAGAGACGAAAGAGGCCGGGCCTATTCAATTTAGACAGAGATGCTTGAGAAGGGACCTGACGAGGGTTTACAAAAACTAAATGGCAGAGAGAAAATAAACAGGGATTTATTATTTGCTACCTCTCACAATAACCAGCGGGTGCATCTACACAAGACGCTACATCACTGTAGCAATGAGGTACGGTGACATAGCATCGGTGGGCATGAACTGTAATGCTAATGCTTTGGTGCGGTAGCACCGAGCTATTGTGCAGTCGGGTCAGAAATGACCCATGCACCACTGGGACTGCGCAGTCATTTAGTACTTGCTTTAGCTTTAGCAAGTATTACATTGGGAGGACGGGTGTAGACGCACCCAGTAGGTAGTAAGTTAAAAACTAACAAAGGAAGTGCTTTTCCATACAGCGTGTCATTAAAGCGTGATACTCTTTGCCACAAGATGCACTGGAAGTGGACAGTTTAGCCATATTCAAAAAGGGGTTGGGTATGTTCTTGGAGGAAAGGGGCATCAGTAGCTGTTGAGCATAGGAGGTAGGGACACAGCCTCTGAACCAGAACTTCCTAGACCTTAAATGCTGGAAGCTGCAAATGAGAGAGGAACAGTAGAAAAAACCCTGGTCATCCCCAGTTCACTCTCCATCCCTAACTCCTGTGTTCAGTAGCTACTAATGCCCCTTTACTCCAAGAACGTGCCCAATCCCTTTTTTGAATAGGCTAATCTGTCCGGTTCCCTTGCATCTGATGGCCATGGTCCGACACAGTAAATAGCAGTTCTTATGTGGATGGGTGGGCAGCTGGAGAGATGGATATGGGGCTGCGGGGCTGCATTTTTCAGCTTAGCTCATTCCCTCACCCCACTGCTCCTCCCATTCCCCTGGGGTCAGTAGGAGGGCCACAAGTGCGCATGCCTTCAGTCGCAGCGTCCGAGCCCCTGGAGGAGCAGCATTTGTCCCCCCCAGGTACAGACTAGGAGCTGGGAGGGGGCAGATAATGGAAAAAAAAAACTGGGCACAATGGGGTGAAGTCCTGCCCCCACTGCCCTCACTTGGCACAAGCTTGATTGTAGCACAATGGCTCTCAGCTCGGGTGCTGCTAAATCCGAAAAAGGTACGAAGGGAGCTTGAGGCTAAAAACGTTGAGAGCCACTGTCCTGCGTCCTCATCTTTCTGGGTGCCTAAAGCCTGGCTTATGCTTGAAAATTGCACTGGTCCAATGATTTTAGTCGGTGGGGGGTGATTTTTAATGACATACCAATACATTGCTTAAGGTGGAGGCTGTCATAGTGGCGTAAAGGCACCATATGGAGCAGCAAGGAAAATTTAGCTTGGGTATTAGGGGGAACTTTCTCACTATGAGAGGGGCTCAGCGTTGGAGCAAGCTACCTGGAGAGGCGGGTTTTGGGAGTGTGCAGGAGCATGTTAAACAAACAGCTGGATGAGATGGTTTAGTCAGGGGTGATCCTGCCCAGAGCAGGTGGCTGGACTAGATGACCCCCTGAAGCCCCTGCCAGCCCTCTTTTTTGTGACTCTATGCTATCCTATTCATTCTCCTTCCTACGCTGAAATAGTTATATCCATGTAGACGTTTTCCTATCTGTAGCACTGCATTTATACTAACTGCTTGTCAATGTTGGAAACAGGGCTAGATGGGCCATCGGTCTGAACCTTTATGGCACTTTTTATAGTATTAGGGTTGTGCCACTTGATTATATTGCCATGGGAAAAGCTGTTCTGTTTGTATGTGTTGACAAACCCCAAATCTCAATTAAAAAAAAATGTATTTCAATTTATTAAGGATTCTGGCTAAATGCCATGCTCCCACAGCTGCCATAACACACATACAACCATAATATAAATAAGTTCGAACAAAGTAACCGAGCTACAAATATTATACTAAGAATAGAGCCCGCCAACATAAAAACATTATTAATCTAAATATCATAGTAAATCAAGACATGAATCTATAATATTGCTGTACATAGGTTCACAGTTGAGACAATGCAATCAAATTTAATGTTAAAATGTGTCACTTGTGTCAGTAATAAGGATATTTAGCTCTAATCGCCTCAGCCTTGTAAGCAAAAATTGCGAGATGGTTTACTATATCTGGATTTGTTTGCTGGAGAAAACAGATTAATTTCTCTCTGCTTGAGAAATGTATTGATTCCTGCAAGCACGGTAATAAATAGGTTCTCCTTATGTCATTACATAAAGAACATTTTAATACATAGTGGATAGTATCTTCCAAAGCTCCTAGACAGGCTGGGCAACATCTTTTATCCCTTGGGATGGAAAATCTACGTCCAGCCAAAACGGCTGTGGGCATCTGTTCGGTCCTGAGTCTAGTCAAAGAGGAGTGCTATTTATTATTGAGATGGTAAATACCTTTCTGCCCCCCAATCTAATTCCAATCTAATTCCCAAAGAGTATATAAAGGGGCAATGCGAGTTGCCCTAGCCACTGCAAAATCACTCTGCCTGGCAATATCTTGTATCCTCCGGAAAACACGAACCTTTTCAATGGAGGGGAGAAAGATCTTTCATTATCTTTGAGATAGTATCCCATCCCAGAAAGTGCAAAAGTGCCGGAAAGAAAAGCTAACCAGGGTGATTGGGGAGGAGGGGGATTATGAATATCTTCTATGTAGCATAATTTAAGCAGACGAGATGGTAAAAGGGGCCGGATTTTAAACCCAAATCCTGCCATTGTAATAATAATATTAGTTAAAATAGAATCCATTCCTGTCTCTCATCTCAAAAAAGATGCAGGAGTTGAGGGAGGAAGAGCCAGAAGAGGAGCTGAGGGAGGAAGTTGAGGGAGGAGTTGAGGGAGGAAGAGTCAGAAGAGCCCCAAGAAACTTGCCCTGAGGTATGTCTGCTCAAAGTTACTAGCAGCATAACCCCATACTTCAGAGCCATATAAGATCTGAAAGATAACTTTGGCTTTATATGCTGATATAGGACTGATCGTCCTTCCGTGGTTTCCTAACACTTCTTGATAGACCCCGAATCTCGAAGCTCTGCTTGTTCATAAAGGCAACCGTGCTTCCTGTAGCCCATCTATTTGTGCATGGACCTCTTTCTGAGGGTGCTGTGTTCATTGAAAACAATGGCCTGGCTATGTAACCTGGCTGCTAGTGCACACAAAACCCAACTCGTATTCAAAGTGGTAAAGCTCAGTTAAAACAGGTTGTTACAGTTAAAACAAGCACAAAGAGCCCCTGCTCTGTTGACCATGCTTATCCATGGAGATATGCAGGTATGCACCAACAAGTTTGTCACATGAACAGGGCTACAGCTATTATCTCCTTTCTCCGCTAGCACAAACCAATTTTAATGTATTGTGGCTGGACTTTATGGCCTGGGAGGCTCTTTCCAGGCCTATCTTCCTATTTCCAGCATCCTTGCCTATTGCATGCATTGGCCTTTTCCACGCTCCAGACTGTTGCATGGGCTTACTGCATCAAGGTTTTGTGGAGTATTAAAATTTGGTTGTGGGCTTAGTTTTGTGGTCTTGTTCGAGCTGCTTCAAAGTGGCTCAAAATGTAAAAGCAAAGCTATTTTGCAAAACGTTTAGAAAGCTGCAAAACTGTTTGCATTTTTTTCCAGAATTTTTCATGAGGATTTTCACCTTGGTAATAAAAAAAATCAATCAAATGTTTTTTAAAAATAATTTTTGGGGGGGGAAACAATTGTTTCACCGTTTTAGACTTTCCCCCACCAATTTTCACTGTGGGAGTGGGGAAAAGTAAAAATATACCAATAAGTAAGCTGTACGTGGTCATTTATATAGGCCAGGTAGTGTGTGTTGTTTGACTTTCAGTGCAAATTAGCTGTTAAAGAACCATCTGAGGAGGTCTCAGGGGCAGGGGAGAGGGCACGTGGGCAGCCATCTGAGGGCATAGCCGTGGATGCTATGTGATGTGAGTTGTCCTGCGAGGCAGGAAGCCCCCTGAGAGCTTGTATCTTCTTTCAGAGAGACGATGAGATAAGCCCCCTCCAATGGACCACAGTACCATCAACTTCAAGCAGCTCAAGCTGGGCAAGCTGAAGGTGGTACGTCGGCGCCTGCTCCAGAGGTATGAACACCAGCCTTTCATCTCCTGCCTGGCTGGGCTCTACAGCTGCCGGTGGAAGCGGTACCAGCGCAAGAAGGTTGAGCCAGGAAAATGCTGCTGCAAAATGGTATGTTTGCCCAACCCCATTGTGAGCTTGCATTTGCTTGCTGGGACAAGCCCACCCCACAGTTCCTTCTGGAGGGGACTAGGGGGCGAATGATTTATATTCCCTGATCCTATTAGGGTTGGGATACAGAGGGGATAGGCTAGAATTTGGTCCCAGCTGCTTGGTTTGCTGTAGACATGTTTGCACAGGATAAGATGGCATGGCACCATAAAAGGGCCCTACCATACTTGGAACAGAAGCTGTCTTCTTGGTCTTGGTTGTACAGGGCTTAGCACAGTGGAGGTCCTGGGCCATGACTGGTATGCCTAGGTGTTGACCATGATCCAGATAGTCCCAAGTGTGACAGCAGTAAAGAGTCACAGGGGTCGTTGTCTGCCCAAGCTGAACAAGAAACTCCACCAGAGCACGTGTTATATCTCCCAGTAAAGAGGTTGTGCAAAGGAAAGAAACAAATAGGTTAAATCCGAGGAGGACGTTCCAACGATGGGATTGTTGGATTGTGTCTCTTGGGGGAAGTCAGCAGAGGTCCCAGTTGCTTGAGTGATCTAAGCTGTTCTTAGGAAAAGCACTGATGAGTACACTGTGGGGAATGTTTTCAGAGATGCATGAGCAGACTCAATACAGTCGTGCCCATCTCTCACCTTGGGACCCAACGGAGGTTTGCGTACACCTGCAGCGTGCGTTGCCTGTTGCTGCATAGGTAAGGTTTAACCACCCGGCCTCTCTTTCTCTCCCCAGTGGGAGTGTGTGTTTTTCCCTGTTCTCATTGGAGCATTCTGCCTTTCCTTGGTTTTTTTGTACATGTGGGGGGAAGCGAAGAATGACTACAACAACTTTGACTGGTAAGTGCCATGCTTCTGCCCTTCGAAATGAGGTTTTCTATAGCTACTTGTCTGAGAGAGCGTAGGCTAATGGGCAGAGAACATGAAGCAGTCTCTCAGGAATG